CTGGTCCTCAATTTAGAACCGAAAACTGGTTGGACTGGTCCAAAAGACCGGTCCGGACCATAGTCCTTGTAGGACCGTAATATCCCTAGTGTGAGAATGAAAAAAAAAGTATATTACATAAAAGAAGTAGTCAATATCTGGAATTCATTATAAATCAAGAAAAGTCAATACCAACTTCAACTTAGGAGATCGAATATCTAGAGTTTATGATAAATTCCAAAAAAATAACTTTAGCTTTACCCAAAGCAAAAATAGTAGATATTCACAAACAATACAAAGCTATATTCAACTATTAGGTTATATATATAAGAAAACTAGCATCTATAATAGGAAAGCTCTTAGCCACTACTGGCATGATATTTTCTGCCTGCCTAATAACAAGAGTATTAATAAGAGACAAGAACAAGGCTCTAAAGAACAACAGATAAAATTGTATAATAACTAGTGATGCCACTAAAATTAATTTTTAAAAAAGGCCTATTTTGTCTCTATTAGAGCAAATTAAAATTTTTATAAATAAAAGCAAATAAAATTTATATATTTATACTCTTTATAATTTCATCTATTCAAAAAAAGTGTCAAAAAATTTTGTCTTTTAAGTAAAATAGATCAAAAACAATTTCATCTTTAAATTTTAATTTCAGGTTTTAGAACCCAAAATAATTTTGTCAACATGTATAATAATAACTCTGTTGATGGAGAGTTGTCAACAACTGCTATAGTAGATTTAAGATCTAAAAAATTGAAATAGTATAAGTCTAATTCTGGACATCTTAACAACAGTAATATATACAGACACATCTATAAAGAGCTAGGAAGTAGCTCACAAAGCCTGGCTTTTTTCTAGACATTGTTTTATATAAATATCTTAGAACCAACCACTATAAAGTACATCTTCTTGGTAATAAAAAATCTGAAAAACCAAGTAGTAATAGTGAGAATGAACAATGCAACATGCATATCTTACCTGAACTATTAAGGAGGAATAATATTATGAGACCTTAGTCTATTGGCAGAAAAAATTTGAAAATTGTGTCTGTTATAAAATCTCAGACTAAGTATATTCTAGACAAAATGAATATTTTAGCAAACCTAGTATTAAGAAAAGCTTATAATTGCCACAACTGAATATTGAAGCCTCAGATTTTTCACAGAATAAAAAAAATTTGAAGTCCTTTTCAAGTAAACTTATTTGTGAATCAAATAAAATTTCTTCTACCAAATTATTTTTTTTATTACCAAATCTCTACTGTCTAGCAATTAATGTCTTAGTTTAAAATTGGTCAAACTTAAAGGGTTGAGCCAACCCACCTTGGATTATGATATACAAGATTCTTTTAAGATGATCAAGGACAGACAACAATTGTAATATTAATACTTTATTGAACTACAGCTCATAGTTTCTAACTTTATTAGACCTGCTAATAAACTTACCAGCATTAATATTGAACAAAAATTCTTTTATACTAGGCTATATAAATCTCCAACAACCTATACACAACCCAAGTGGAAAATATTTGCATGCTATATCTCAAAGAAAATTTCCAAAAGAAGAATTTTTTGAAAAAAGCTGCTAAATTAGTCAAAGACAATATTAAAATTATCAAATTCAACAGTGGAATCATCTATTAGAAAATGAACTATTTGGTATAATGAATTATTTATTAATTTTATACAATGTTCTTTGAATCACATATTTGATTTTCTAACAAATATGAATAATTAGGACCTTGCATTTAATACTATAGTATTTTATTAATCTGCAATTAGTAAAATATATGAATTAATTAATAATGTATATGTTGGATGACATTTAGCTATTGCAAAATTAATGATAGCTATATAAGAGAAATCCTCCAACACCTTCTCCAGAGAATGCAATTGATATAGTGCTATACCTGGATTATATTATAGCTATAAACTCAAACAAGAAAATGCTAATAATCAGTTTATTTAAGAAAACAGCATTTCTGATTGTAGTTATATCAGCTACTAGACAAAGTGATTTACATCATATATCTTTAAAAACAATAACTATATTACAAAATAGATTTTTATTTAAAATTGTTGACCTTAAGAAAAGTAATATATCTATTACATATAAGATACTGATTATCAAATTAAAGAGGCTGACTATATATAATATTGTCTATCTTTGTATACTTGTTCATTTCCCAATAATTTTTGCTAATACTTAACCATTGGTCGAAATTTTTCTAAAAAAATAAAAAAATATTATTTTAATCTGATTTCATTTTAATTTGCTATAGTTAATACTGATTATGTAGATTAATTTTTTATATTATTATATTATTAGTGTTTGACCTGTAGTATTGTCATGGAAGTTTATAAAAAGTAGCAAAGTGATAATGCAAAAATTTGGCAGTCCTGTAATCTCCAAGCCAAATCGAGCCAAAAAACATTCTGTGCCAATTGGGGTTGAAATTTGATCTTAACAATATAAACAATATATTTTCAAATATAAGCTTTTATCTTTAAATTAAAATTAATATAGACATATATAGTAATCAAAAAATAGTATATAATATATCTTCAAATTAATTAATATACGTATATATAGCCTTCAAAAAATAGTGTAATATATCTTTAAATTACTGTAAATAATTTAAAAAATAGAGTGATATATCTTCGAATTAAATTAGAAATTAAATTTTTTATTATATTATAAACTATATAGTTGGAAATTAAATATTATTGTGATTTATTAAATTATGAATTTGAAATTAATGAGATATCAATATTAAAATTTCAAGACTAAATATCTTGTATTATCTATCTTCAAAAATAATAATAAATCATTAATTTAAATATGTAATGGCTTTTTACTTAAATGTAAAATAAGACTTTAAAAGCTTGGTAATATCATGAAAAATTGAGTTTATTAAAATTTTTTATGCACTTTACAGTAACTCTAAATTTAGAATACAATAATTATTCCTATCTTTTAATCTTTATAAATAATACATCTTTAATATTGCTTGAGCTATTCTATAGTCTTTATTTATTTTGGTATTTAATTGAATTTTTTTTTCTTTCATTCTGAATTTTAAAAATATTTATTCTATTATTATACTACTTTACTGTTTTGATCCTGTTGCTTTTCTATTTTCATTGGCTTTAATTCATAATTATATACTATTATTTTGCATAATAAATATTTTATTATGGCTTTATTATACCAAATAGCTAAGGTTACTAATAATTCTCCAAACAATGCTCTCATTGTAGTACATGCAAAAACCCTATTGATTTCACTCATTCAAGTGAAATAGAAATGAAAGTATTTTCTTCATATAATGTCTATTTAGACCAAAAAAAAAAATTTAAAGAAGTTAGTTATAATAACAATGAATTAGATAATACAAGAAATAAAAATATAGCCGAAGATGACTATTTTGAAATAATAATTATTAATGATAAAGATGAAGCCTGGTTTAATTTAAGAGATTTGAAAAATTTAATATTTAATTGTTTTGAAAATATTGATGAAAACAGGCAAGTAAATTTTTCAGAAACTTTTAAATTCAATGATAAATTAATTAATTATATATTGTTACAAAGTAAAGCCTTCTTAATTTACTCTATAACGACAACATGGCACAGGGAATCCTTTCGTAGGTATATGCGATGTCCAAGAGGTAAGTATAGCTTCTTTTCTCTTTAAGAAACTATA